GTAGATTCACGTGGTCATGACACAATCCATTAATGAGCAGCAATTAAACAATCATAAGAGACCCATATTTCAATTTAGAAACTGAAACATGACTACGTACTCGTGCAAATTTAGAAGCATTAAGCTACCATTGTCTGATAGTGAAACCCTAGGTGAAGAACTTTCCTCTGATCCCTCCGGAACTGGAGATACAGATGGTGGTCGAGGTGGAGCAACGTAAATGACCCTCAATTTGGATTCTTCAACTTGATGCCCCGCGTCCTTACTGAACTATAACATTTAATAAAACCTATTGTCTTAAGCCACAAACTTTGCCAGTAATTAGAACCTCATATAGAGCCACAACTTAAATCATATGATCATTAACAAAAATACCATCTGGGCAGTTACATCCTTTGTTGTTGTTCCAGGACTTGCAACTACACTTTGAAGTAAGAACTTGTCCTTGCATAGCATATCAGGAGGTGCCTCCTTTTGTGCTTGCATTGTAACTGATTAACAATTACTCCACAGTTAATAACCAGATAATTTGGAGAAAAAAGTGGAAACAAAAATATGCTGAAAATGGATTAAAAGATTTACAAGGAATACTGAAGAGAAAAGTAATGCAGGAGACCAACCAAACAAACGAGTGTTTTCAGAAAAGAAACAAGGATTAGATAAACAGAGAGAGAAGACAAAAGAGACCTAGAACATCACATGTAGACCTGGGCAGGACAATCCCGGTGTTAGGCCTAACACAATACTTCTTGGGACTCGTCGTCTTAACCTAAAAACCAATATTTCACATGCCAAAAACCCGATAATCAGATGAGAATTCTCACCTACGATGTCAAACGAAAACACAAAAAGAGATATTAAATCGAATCGCGGAACATAATTATCACCTTGAAAGCCACATAATTTTCGGTCTTATTAGACAACTGTAGAGAACAAGAGATCCGTTCCTGCAATTCAACTTTCCATTTCCCCAGAAAGAAAACATGGATACTGAATCAATAACGCTAAGATCATGGATATAAAAACAGACTTGAGATTAAAAAATTCATAGAAGCTCACAAGGGAATTGGAGATCTTGAGGCTGGAAACTAAGCAGCTCGCCAGTACTCATTTTTGTGCGATCTTCATGTGTTTATATGAGTATCGAAACGTCGGAGTTGAGGGCAATTTATATATATATATATATATATATATATGTATGGGTATAGAACAAACCGGGCCGAGTTCATGATGAATTTTGCTAAACCCGAACTTGATCTGGATATGTGAAATGACAAAATTTGAGCTTGCACCATATGCGAGATGAGTCCATAAAAATATTATTTTATTTGTACAATATGGATTTCATCATAAACCAATGCCACCCAACCCGGCTATGAAATTTTTACTTGATAATAAAATAAATTCTAAGGTAATATTCAAGGAAAAAGAAGTATGATTTATTGCATTTATGATTAAAACAAAACAAAAGAAAACGGATAACAAAAACATTAACAAACAATCACTCCCAAAGTTTGTTAGTGAGAATTTAGGTAAGAAACAGTCATATTGATTTTTTGAAGTAAGTGAGAGCCTCAATGACAAGCGAGGTTACTCGAAGAAGATCAAAAGGTGGTGATGTGCGCAACGAGGTGGCATGAAGAAGAGGAAAAAACTCGAGCAAAGAGCAATTAAGTGATTAGGGTGTATATAGGTGAAAAAATGGGTTAAGTGTTCAATTATTTCAGTATATATAATCTTATATTTTAATTAAAATTTTAAAATATATTATGTTATATACATACACTACTAATTCAATTGTCTTTTGAATTTTTTTCCACTAAACTCGAACCCGATCCAATCTAATTAAAACTAAACAAAAAAACCTAACCAAACTCAACCAATTAGAGTAAGTTCGATTAAAATTTAGTATGATTTTCTGAGATCAAGTGAGAGTGATATATGCAAATGGTGATTGATGCATGCAAATTACTAAATAATAGTTAACATGTCGCTTGTTTTGGCCTCATTGAAGCTAAGTTTATGTTCTTTCTCACCATGCACTTTTAAGTTATTACTTGCCTTAACATCTTAAGAAGCCATTGGTGCGTGCTTGTCAAAGTTCGTTCTATCTTTTTAAGTTTTACATTAATTTAAATTTATTGTAGTATTCAAGATTTACTTTAAATTTTTTTTTTCAACAAATGAATTTTTTAACTTTTATTAATATGCATATGTCCTGTCTTTTCAATACTTATTATTAGTTACGATATTCGTTAGTTGTAGTATGGATGCCAATTATCTAAGTTTTTAGCATATATGATCAAGTTATTAATAATTTTTATTTGGTCTTATTCATTTTGAATGTAGGTATTGATTGACGAATTATCAAGTGCACAAAATAGTTCAAGTAATAAAATGATGAGTAAATTATCGTTCTATAGAGATTGTACTACCAAATACTAAAATTGTAAAAATTCTACTATTATATAGAAATCAAAATTAAATTTATTAAAAAAATTAAATTAAAGAAAACTATCGACGTAAATACACTAGAGTAATTGATTTTACTTGAATTTTGGGGTATATTCACGTTTTAATTTCGTAATTGATTTAATCTAATCTGTAATAGTTAAACTATTATAATGTATTTTTTATTTTCCTTCAATATTCCATAAATCTATCAATTAACAATTATTAATCTTTTATAGTATTTAATAATTTAATTTAATTTAATATTTGATAAATCGACTATATTACTCATGTTTAAATTGCAATTAACGCTTAATAATAAATGTCTAATTAATAAAATTTATCTCCTACTATTCTAAAATAATCAATCACAAATAAAATCGTGAGTTGATATATTCTCACAACCTAATTAAGTTTAATATTGTTAAATTATAACCCGAAGAAATCTAAAAATTAAATGATAAATGTACTTCTGATTAAGGCTGTGTCAATTATTCCAACGAAGAAAACTTAGCCGTAACAATCATATTTAAAAAAAAATAGAATCACGTGATAATCAAGAATAAATTTAAAAAAAAAATTTCAAACACTGGTATTTTGGTTTCATCATTAAAAAATTATTAAAAATTTCTATCCAAAAATATAGTAATTGAAAATTAATTAAATATATTACTTAATTATTTTTCTCAGTTTCTCTCCCTTTCACCAAGTCTGCCACTCCTCCTCCTATGTTTCAGCAATTATTTTTCTCAGTTTCTCTCCTTTTCACTAAGTTTGCCCGTTACTGCCATTTCTCCTTCTACGTTTCAGCTTCTACGAGGTCACTCCATTAGTTTCCCTTCCGCTAAACTTTATGCTTTATGTTTCAACTCTGCACTCGCGCTTTTGCTTTGAATCTACTTTTCCTCTCAACACGATACTTCACTTTTGCTCTCTGGTTTCTCGGTCAGCTGCTAGCTCGAGTTCTGTTCTCTCTCTCTCTCTCTCTCTCTCTCTCTCTATGTCTCTCTCTACAAACTTAATCCTTCCACCCAACCTCCCTTTTGTAGGCGGTGAGAGACAGGGTTTATACGCACGCCTCCTCCCTTTCCTTTTCCAACCTCCTCTTTCCCTTCGAGCCGCCTTTTCCTATTCAAAATGGTACCATTTTGGCGTCTGGTTCCCAAACTCAAAACGACATCGTTTTGGGGGTTGAGAATGAGTTTGAACAGTTCTGGGCTTGGGTGCTCCAGATCCGGGCCTGTTAGACTTTTTCCTCTTTTCTTCTTTTTTCTTCAGTTTCTTTTTTATATTTTCATCAACAATTCAACTTGCATCCAAAATTTATATCATAAATTCCAAAATGCGTTTAAGTTTATTATAAATTTAAGTGATAAAGGTATTAAAATAAAAATATAAATATAAAATATGAGGTGTTAAAATATTTTGCTTATAACTAGTATTGTTAAAGAAAAATTCTCTATTTTTAAGGTTTTGTCTTTTTTTTTTTTTTTTTTAGGAGTCATACAATGTATTCTTTCTCTTATATGTACCTGGAAACTAGTTTGGTAAGAATTTTTACTTCATTAGCAAGTATTAGAATTAATATAGTATTATTAAGTGATTCTCATTAGAAATTTTGATAGTTATTGCAAATCTTAATCAAACTAGTGCTAATTGTTAAATTTTTTTTTTAATCAACAAATAGACTTAATATTGATTTTGATATATGTAACAGACTATCAATTTATTGGATCCGTTTAAAAATGATCAATTATGATTAAACAGTTATTGATCATAATGTATCAGGTTTAAGTATGAAGTTGTAATATGTGCAGATATCATATTTGTAATTTTTTATTTTATAATCGACAAAATAGAAAATGACAAAAATTGACGATATAAAAATGTGGTTATAGTCCTCAAATTACATGTAGATTTTATTTTTCTTATTATCTCATCAGTAGAAAAAGAAAAAGAAAATTTACTGTATTACGCGAAGATTTCTTCTGTTATAAATTCAGATTCACTTCCGTATTAATTCCTTTTAATTTAGTGACTATTTAGTTGATTTGGTTTAATTCTAACACTAATTCCAAAAGAAATTTTTCAACAAATATTAGGATTCGGGGTTCATTATAAATATCTTTTTGAAAATTTTTATTAAAAAATATGATAATTAAATATATTACTTAATTATTTTTCTCAGTTCCTCTCCTTTTCACCAAGTCTGCTCGTCGTTGCCACTTCTTCTTCTACGTCTTAACTTGTGCAAGGTTGCTCCACTAGTTTCTCTTCCGTTAAACTTTATGCTTTCCGTTTCAGCTCTGCACTCGCGCTTTTGCTTCGAATCTTCTAGCTTGAGTTCTTTTTCCTCTCTCTACCTCTCGTTTCTCTGTCTATCTCTTTCTACAGATCTAATCCTTCCACCTAATCTCACTTTTGTAGGCTACGGGAGGCAGGGTTTCTGCGCACGCCTCCTCTTTCCCGTCTAACTACTTCTTCCTGTTCTGCAATATTTTTTTTTCACTCTTCAAAATGACATCACTTTGGTGTCTAGTTCCCAAACTCAAAACAACGTTGTTTTGGAGGGCTAGGAATGGATTTGAATAGGTTGGGGCTCGGGTGCTCTAGATCTGGGCCTGTTTGACTTTTTTCTTTTTTTTTTTTTTTCTTTTCTCGTTAGCTTCTTTTTCACCTTTTTTTTAAACAATTCAACTTGTATAAAAAAGTTATATCATAGATCATCTTTTTAACTCAAAATGCATTTAAATTTATTATAAATTTAAGTGATAAGGGTATTAAAATTAAGATAAAAATATAACACATCAGCTCTTAAAATATTTTGCTTATAACTAGTATCATTAAGAAAGAATCCTCTATTTTTTAGGTTTTTTTTTTTTTTTTGTTAGGAGTTATACAATATATTCTTTCTCTTGAATGTAACTGGAAATTAGTTTCGTTATAATTTTTACTTGATTAACAGGTGTTAGAATTGATATAGTGTTATTTAGTGATTCTCATTCGAAATTTTTGGTAGTCGTTGCAAATATTAATCGAACCAATATTAATTCTAAAAGAAAGTTTGATACAAAACCATAAAATACGTGAGCATAGATAAAATACCTTTAACATTCAAGTTAACATGATGTCAGGTTTAAAGAGCGAGTTATAGATTTCTTGTTTGTGTTGGCATTAATGTTGAACTTTTACAGAGGGATGAGAAAGAGTAAGTGACCTTGATAGGGGCAGTCCCATAGCCTTTATGAATTTCGGTTCTCACTAAGTAGGTGTTACTCCCTAAACACTTGCTTTTAGGGTATCTTTATGAAGAAGCACATGTCACACCCTAGTAAATTTGACCTCTAGTTTCTTAAAAAGAAGCTTTATCCTTGGTGAGCTTGTAACGCCCGGAAAATTTGTTATTTTATTATTAAGTATTTTAATTAAGTTTTTTTTAAAAAAAAGAGCGCCACGTCAGCAGCCATGTCAGCAGACCCAGTCAGCAGTCCTGGCCAACCAGGATCTGCCACGTGGCAAGACCACGTCGACTGGGGACGGGCCACGTTGGCTATCCGCGTACGCGCGATTGGACGGCCCAGATCAAGCGTGCGCACGGACGGCCCCAAATTAAAACAAAATGGACGGCTGAGATCAAAAGGCAAAAGGGTATAAATAGAACCCCCACACCTCACCACAAAAACCCTAGCCGCCTGCCCTCGCCGGAGAAGACGAACCAGAAGCCGGAGAAGCTGGCCGCCGCCACCCGCCGCCGCACCGGGGAGATTTCCGACCGCCAATTGAAGTAAATTTCATACTCCCGACTCGTTTTTCCATACTGATTTTTCCTGTGGCCAAATCGGAGCCAAAATTCTGGCCAAACGGCCGGAAAACACCGTCGAAACCC